TGTCTAAACTGGCCCCAGTATGTGTATGTATGAATGTAAGTTAGGGACATTAAATTGTACTCCCCTTGAGGGTTAGTGACTGATGTGAATATGCACTATATAAATGTAAAGCACTGCATAAATATAAGTACTTGTAATAAATAAAAAAATAAATAAAACCATAGTCTCATCTGTAAATGTCCCTGAATGGCATACTGATATATCCAGCACCTACCTGCATCCAAAATGATTATTTAATTAATTTAGCAAAGTAGCTTCTGTTCTTTATGAATATAAATGATGAATGTGTTGGGAATACCACCAGAAAATCTAAGAAGATATCAGAAGAGATATCAGAAGCTGTCTAGTATAAACTTGGAGTGTTTGTCTCTACGTAAAATAAAAAATTGTGCTTTATACCATCATGGCAAAACATGATGTTGTAATAATGATACACACATGTATCAGCTATGGCATTGCTGTTTTTGTAAATGTTTTTCTTACTGATAATATAAATTCCTATTTACTATAGAGTTATCTATTGTGGTATATATCAAAGCACACCATTATTGTCAAAAACCAAGATAGTATTGCCACATTCAGAAAACTGTTGGCTACAGTGTAAAGAAATGCCCATAACGAAAATAAAGAAAAAATAGTGCAGGGCATGCATGACTAGGCCCAGAGTGGGGAAGGAGGAGCAGAAAGGGTTAAGGTTAGCTCCAGGGGGTTTGTTTTGATAGTGGGGGTATCTGGTTGGTAGAGGTTGGTGTAGGTGGGGTTTGCTGCACCTTAGGGTGGGGGGTTCTGTGAGGGGGCGTCAGTTGAGCTGGACGTCAGGAGTGAGAGCTTCCCTCCCGCCCTCCCTGTTTTGGTGAGTATTGGGTCCCTCCAGGAAGAGGGGGGGTTTATGTTGGTTCATGGGCGGTTGTTGGTCTTTGGAGGTGGTTGTTATCTTGGAAGGTAAAAAACAATGGTGTGGGACCCATCGGTGGTATGGGATGCCTGGGGAGATTTCCAGTTAACCAAGGCTTAACTGGAAGGTGGTGGTGCTGCACTGCGGACGGTATGGTTGTCTCCGAGCTGGTTTGTTGCAGCTAGAGGCCTAGTGTATATGGTTGTCCGCAGGTGCATTTCGGATCGTTTGGGGGTGCCTTCGAAGACCAACAACAATTCTTTGGGTTTCTGTTATAAGGAATGGTTGGTGTATTTAAACTTGAGTTGTTAATAAAAGGCCATGTTGGCCATTTACTCCAAAATTGGTGTCATGTTTTTTGTAAGTATAATTGGTTAAGGGGAAGGGGGGGGGGGGTTGGTGCGGAATGGTAATGGTGGTAATGGGAAGTGGACAAGCCTATCTCTGGTGCAATAGTCAAGGAAATAAAGGCATGCTACAAAAAGCCTACCCTAAGTATTCCTTTTTATTTCATGTGTTAGATTTTTCTATTTTCATTTTTGTGACTCCTAGGTATATCATGTCATTAATCTTCTCATTTTCCTAACTAATGATTATTTTTCTCAACTTGATAACTGATTGCCCCTCATTACTTATTTTTCCAGCTTGTCAGGCTATACTGTGTCAGTGATTCTGCTTTTACTTTGTGCAAAAACTGCACTTTCAATACATCCATCCAATTTCCCTGCTAAAATATATTTGCTGTCAGGTATCTCATTCTCTGAATATCTTTCTGCACATGCATTTTTCATCTTTTTTATCACATTTGCATCTCAGGCTTTAAGTTCTTATGTCCTTCAATATACTATGCAAAATGTAGGTCACTGCAAGAATTTTATTTAACAGTGATATTTTAATATTGCCATACATATCAGATGGAAAATCAAATGCGATATCCATTTATATTTTTCATCTTGATTAATTAGAGCCTTGTGATTGAATGGATACTAAAGGAAAACAATGCTTAAAGGGTAAGAGTAGTGTAATTGCAGTAAGTGCATATTATTGTGTTTTTATAATTTTGTAATTGTATTAAATATAAAGATTCGCAAATGAGCTTGCTGAGACATGATATCAGCCACAGGAGTAATGCATTATTGTCAATGAGTCAGCCAGTTCCTACATTTTGGGGAAAAAAAAGTATTATTTACAATATTAAATGGCATTGATAACATCAAATTGATGTCTTTCATGTGTTTATCTGGATATTATAAAGGCTCTAAATGCCCTATAAAGCCCTTAACAACCATTCTGATTTTCTCATACCTACCAAAAACAGTTCTAATATAAGCTAATTATTATAATAATTAATTTTTAACCTGCACTTGTGTGTATTATCTTGTATGTCCCTTCATTAGTAGGTAATTTTTCAGTTTCCAGTGCTGTGACTGACAAACAATTCCACAATTAATTATGGTCAGTGGCATTTTAAACCCTTCTTACACACACGCAAACACATACAACTTTTAGAAAATGACCCCATCATCATTGGTTGTTGGTGGTCCTTTAACCGCTTTAGTCCCAACACCATTTTAATACATTGCTGAGATTGGATGCTTTTAAACTACTATACTGGTGTGTGTACATTTCTTAAGCCAACTGTCAGTTTTCAGGTGGAAATGATACGTGCATCTATGAAATCGCAACGTGCTCCCCCTACCCCCTTTCCTATTACTGTCTGATGACAGCTGAGATTACAGCCATTCATTGGCACACTGGCTGCCCAAGTGTGTTTTTGAGCTTCCATTTATAAAAGGCAGTCCAGGAATACACATCTACCTCCCCACAAATATGGTTAACCAAGCATAGCTGAAGAACCTGAGACAGGTCAACTTGAAAAAGATAGCTTTAAAAGACTTGCCTATGTGCAGTTTAGAGCTTCCAGTCTACTTTTATTCATCACGGAAAACTACCATTGGAAGATTCCATTCAGTATAACAGAGATAAGATATTTTTTCAGCCTCCTGACTAAAAGCCAACTTGGTCTGTACTAGACATGTGTGGTTCGTTTAATTCTGAATCGAAATTCAGACAAATGTTTCATTATTTGGTTTTGTCCAAATTTCTGAATTACAAATGAATGTAACTGCTTCCCCGCTGCCCTATAGCAGAACTACTGCTACAGGGCGGCAGGGCTGCGCAAAATCACATATATATACATGATTTGCATTTCTGGGTGGAGGACGAATGCTTTGGCCTACTTGTGCCGCCATTGGTGGCTACAGATGTCAATCACTGGGTCCCGGACGGAGATTTCCTGCTGGCACCCAGCGATCACTGAGTAACACTGACAGAGGAGAGACCTGTGTGTAAAAACAATAAACAAACAGAAGTCGCTGCCATCTAAGTGAATCAATTTAATTAATATGGTTACCAAATGATGCCACATGAAATACCAGATCAGGCCACTGTTTACATTTGCTTAGTATGGTAACCAAGCCATTGTTTACAATTTGTAACATGGTAGCCAAGCCATTGTTTACATTTGCTTACCATGGCAACCAAATGATGCCACAAAAATGCCAGCTTGGGGCATTGGTTAACCACTAGGGGACCGCCCACAGTACATTTACTGCAGCAAAGCGGCCCCTGTAGGCAGGATCACATTTCTAAACATCATCCTGTTTACATGGTAGGGGGCGCACGCAAGGCGCGTGACCGCCCTGCCCGCAGCACTGATTGCGACTGCGGGTGTCAATCAGCAGGTCGGGGCTGGTGATTACCCGCCGCGTCCCGGCGATTGCCAGCAAACACTGACACAAAGCAAAGCTGAATTGTTTTCAATGTAGTTCTGCTCCCTGTCAGTTTCCAGCACACTGTTCCGAAGTGCAGAGCTTAGCTTTCTGGAACACCATGTTCCTGTTAACAACACACCCCTCGCCCACTAGTAAAACACTCCCCTCACACAGTTAACCCTTTGATTGCCTAAAATGTTAACCCCTTCCTGCCCAGTGCCATTAGTACAGTTTCAGTGCTTTTTTTTTTGCACTGATCACTGTATTGCTGTCACTGGGGATGTCAGTGACCCCAAGTCAGTTCCCCGCCAGTGTCAGAATGTCCGCTGCAGTCCCGTCATAAGTCACTGATTGCTGCCATAAGTCACTGATTGCCGCCATAAGTCGCTGATCACCGCTATTAGTATACAAAAAAAATCCAATATCTATACTGCCATTTGTAAATGCTATAAATTTAACGTAAACCAATTAATTTACACATATTGGGATTTTTTTTAGCAAAGACAAGTCGTAGAATACATTTTGGCATACATTTATGATGAAATTTGATTTTTAAATTTTTTTACTGGACATGTTTTATAGCAAAAAGTCCAAAATATTGTTTTTTTTCTCAAAATTGTTTTTTTTTTTTATAGCGCAAAACATAAAAAACGCACAGGTGATCAAATACCACCAAAAGAAAGCTCAATTCATAGGGAAAAAAGGATGTAAATTTAATGTTGGTGCAGCGTTGCATGACCGCGCAATTGTCAGTTAAAGTGACGCAGCGCCATAACACAAACCACTTATGTAACCGCTTCCTGACCGCCCTATAGCATAAATACTGCTACAGGGCGGCACAGATGCGCAAAATCACACATATATACAGTACATACGTGATTCACTCTCCCGTGGTTTTCACGTCCCTCCCAGACGGCTTCAGATTGCCCGTCAGTACACCAGTCATCACATTTAACCCCTCGATTGCCAGGGAGATGCTCATACACGATAAACCTCCATTGCTAGTATAGTGTCTGAACGGGTCAATATCTTTGATCAGATCAGCACTATACCAGCATTCACATTAGTATAGCGTCCCCAAAAATGCAGCGTTAGCGGGATCAGCCCCAGCACCTGCCAGCACCTGTGTTTAGCCCCTACGCTTACCCCCCCTTCTCCCCCAGCAAGTGCAGTGTCAGTAGATCACTGTCACTTGATACATTGCACACAAAACCGCAGTGTTCGCAGAATCACGTCTGATCTCTGTTAGCATTTTTGATGACTCTCATATGCAGCAGAGTGCCAATACTAGTGCCGCGCTACCTTTTGGTAAACTGGCGAGTATTAGTGGCCTAGTACATCCTGGTCTTTCACATACCTCTTAGATTGTAAGCTCCAAGGGGCAGTGCCATCCTAACCCTCTTGTATTGAACTATATTGTTGCTGTATTGTCTCCCGTTATATTGTAAAGCGCTGAGAAAACTGTTGGCGCTATATAAATCCTGTATAATAATACTAGCACTGCAGTATGACTTGGCGACATGGCAAGTCCCATAAGTGCAGTACAAGCTGGTGTGGTGACGAGCACAACCACCAAGAATTCGCACAGAGGCCCGTAGAGCCCCAAGTATCCTTCCGCATGTGCTTGCAAATCCCGCTTGGCAGCCTACAAATTCTGCAGCACCCATACTTCCCCCATTCACTGCCCAACCTGGAATTCAGGTGGAAATAGCAAATTTAACTACTCCCCTTGATTGTTTGGAGCTGTTTTTCACGGAAGATCTGTATGCATTGATTGTGAATCAAAGAATTTTATATGCACAGCAACCCAAATTCAAACCTTGCCAGACCATTCGCATGAAAACTCATTACAGTTTCCAAATTTAAATTTTTTTTGGACTTAACCCTCAACATGGGCATTACTATGGTAAGACCATAGGTCTCGGCCCATTCTGCTAAATCAGATGTGGAATCCCCATCCGGGGAGAGCCTGTCCATCTCAGTGTATTAAAATCCCCCATAATCAGGATGTTATCTATGGAATGAGTAGCCACTAGAGAAAACCTTATGAAACAGCCTAGGGGAAGTTGGAGGAGGAATATGCAGTCCCACCACAACAAATTCAAGACCTTCTGTCATAGCATGGAGCACAATGTACCATCCATCTGGGTAAAAATCCAAATGCAAAAGCCAGAAAGGCAATGACTTTCGGACCAAAATGCTAATCCCTCTAACAAAATTTGAAAAGCTGGAGTGGTAGTGATACCCCACCCAGGACATTCTTAGTCTAAGGGTCTTACTAACCAAGAAATGGGTCTTTTGGAGGATGCATACTGTATATGTGGGCCATAAACCTTTAGGAAACAGAACACCAAAGATCTTTTAATAGGAGAATTTAACCCTCTTGTGTTCCAAGAGACCACTGCCAAATTAGCCATGGTATCAGGGTAGGAAATGTGGCATCACAAGGGAAGTAAGAACCAGGACCCAGAAAGAATGGTAACATGTCAACAGTCCTAATCACAGGATCACAGTGAGTATGAGATTGACCAATGTGTGCATTAGCAATAAAAAGCAGTAAAACAATGAACAACATAAACAGTCCCAACAAAAGTCCAAGGACACGTAAGTTGTTATGCCTATTTCGATTCTCGGCATCTTCTGCCCGAGACTCCAGGTACTTCACCTTGACCTTCAGCGTATGGAGGTCCGCTGAGTGGTCACTGCAGGTCCTCCACATCATCAGACGCCTGCTGCTCCACTGCCACCACGCGACCCAGGAAGGCGTCCAAGTCTTTCCTGATCAGGCCTATTTCCAGGTGGACATGGTACACTTTGGTTTCCAACATGGTCTGACACTGGGTAATTGCCTGCATAAATGCTTGGAAGTCATTAGACCGCTGTCGCTGCATCTTGCTCCTCCATTGTCGCCATGTTACACTGGGGAGTGGCAGTGGACATGGCCTCCACTTCCGGTATCTCTTTGGAGCCGGCGTTTCAGCGAGCCAGGCCAGCGTTATGACCCAGACGCATGTCCTTGGGTGCCCGGTAGTCAGAAGCACTGTGAATAGTAAAGAATGAGCCACTCGCACCAATCTGTCGGCAGGATAGCTAATCTGGACATCGGAGCCTCACGATCAAGCGTCCGCTCCCAGTTCTATCTTGGACATGCCCCCAGCCCTATTTAAATAGCCCAGCCCAGCTTCTATAGGTAGTGTCTTCCAGTAAGTTTCTCTAAGGCTGGCCATACATTATACAATTATCTGGAGATTTTTGGTTTAGATTTACCAAAAACCATATGAAAGGAGGACAAACCTAAACAACACTTTCAGTTGTATCCAATTAGGCCGGCCCTTGCACTACACAGTTGAAGGTAAATCTAAAGGAAATTGGGCAGAAAATTGGAAGATAATTGTATAACGTATGGCCAGCCTTAGTCCAGCTTCCATTAGGCCCTCATCCATAGCACCTGCAGAGGACTAACTGCAACAGTTCTGTATCACACAAATGTTGTCTGCCAGGGTAGAGGCCCCAGGGAAGAGACTCTGATCAGACCCTTCTAAACATTTATCTTCTCCCAGGAACACCTGGGTAGTCCTCCTAGGGATTGGCCAGAGTCCAAAAAAATATACGTAAGCTAGTGACTGATCCTCCTATACCATCTCTGAAACAGGCTTACAGAGGCAATCAGCCTCTAAGTTTAGGGTTGAACTTGATAAGACTTAACCAGCAAACCTGAGCTGGCTACAGCAAAGCTATACACTACATTTAGCCAGCCTAAATATAAACTGCTAAATACCTTTTCTCAGTATATAGCAGTCTTGTAACTTCTATCAGGGTCCAGCTGAGTACTGAATAAGTTTTCATTTTCGTCTCACTATCCTATGAGGCTGCATAAACCCTGACCCTCTGTCTGGACAGTGCTGATTGGCACTGTGTTGATCACATGCACCCTCCCACAGAAAAAAAAACCTCTCTAGCAATACACACTAAACTGAGCATGTGCAGAATGACTCCTAGAGCTCTGTAATATCAGCAGATGGATTGGGGATAGTAGAAGAAGGGGAGGATCAGAGAAAACAGGATCAAACAACCTTTTTACACGATTCTGAGGATTAAACCCTTAGTTTTCACAGTGAGTATAACAAGCATGCTTTACTGCATATACAGGCTGATTTTACTGATCTGGGTGTAGTAACACTTTAAGATAAAGCTCTGCAAGCTGAAGTTTGGGTGATCTAACTTGCAATTTTCCATTCAAGTCAATTAAAAGTAGTTCTTTCAAAAAAATCTTAACACAATGCACATGCATGCATGGCAATACACGCAAACACAACATGCATTCTTGTGCAAACAAGCTGTTGGAAACTCCATTAGCATTGAAACAAGAGTAGTGGTACCTGTGTCCACCATTACAAGTTTTCAACTGACTCAAAAGCCGTTAACTCATTAACGTTAGTATAATTAAAGAGACACTTCACCAGATCACAGTACAGTAAGGCCTCGTTCACACCATACGTGCAGGAAACTGATGCACAGATTTCACTTGCAGAGACATCAGTTTTCATGTGCGCTACAATGAGTTTTATACAAGTTGCAAATTCCTGCACAGAAAGAATCCAAACCTGATACTAGTATTGTGGTGTGAACAGGGCACATAGAGAACAATTGTTCTCTGCAGAATGCATGCAGAAAAACCGACATTTTATGATATGTATGAGCTCTAAGATTACAACAGAGCAACAGTGTATTGCCATAAGAGCAACAGTATTGCCATATTTCTCTTTATTTTTTCTTAATACCTGTATTTCTGTACCGGACCCCAGGCACCTGCTCTTCCCCTATCTTATTAATCTTGCTCTACTGGCAGGTTTTATCCAGTTTAAGTGACACTGAGAAACCTTCTGTCTGTAGCACTGTTACAATCTTAGCATTCAGCAAAAGTTCACATTCCTTGATAATTACTGTGTTGTAGTTATGACTAGGCACGAGGCATGTCAGGCTCTCTGTACAGAGACGTCTGCTTTTAGACAGAACACAGTGGAATTTAGCTGCAGCCTCTAGACCATTCTAGATCATTGGTGGTCATTGAGACTTTAGGACCCCCAACCTTCAACTTCACTCTACCAGAATCCTTTTCCTGCCTGTGTTTTTTCAGTGCTCCCCCTTCCCTACTGTAAATGAGATAAATATTTGGCATCATTTATGTGACAGACTGCCTAACACCCTGCCTGGGTGCATCCGGCTAACAGTGCCTCCTGCCCTCCAGACCCTTCCAGCAAACCAATAGCTAATACAAGCCCTTTACCCCAAGCATCATACACAGAGACTATGTTGAGGTAAAAAGCAAAGAAATCCCTTTTCTTGAACAGAAATAAAGATTTTTATACACTTCAAAATAGGGGCAGCCACCACATGAACAATAAAAGCAAATATGACACATGGAGGTAAACATCCCACAATGGTTAGGTAATGAGGTAAAGTTGACACCAGACTAATCACATCCAGACAGAAACAATAGGTTACTCAATTAACAATGGGAATTCACACCTAGAAGGCACATAGTGGGGAAATTACACAATGGGAGAAAGACACTTCACACCTAAACAGGATAGGAAAACCCAGGTACACTTTATAACAGTAAACACATAACAGATTACACAACAGCAAGAGACCCCAGCATCAGGTTGTTTGAGCCAATTATAATCTGATTTGAATCTATGAGTTTAGGAGTGGGTTGAAGCAGTCAGTGCTGTTTTGGGCTGTTAATTGTATACTCCAAATATCCAGGTCCTCCAGTCCTCAGAGTCTGTGTGTTTCTGGAAGGCATGGACTTAAATCCAAAGTAAAACTACTCCAAAAGGTCCCCCAGCTACACACCTCCCAAATAATAGAGCCACCTCAAATACCAGAGCCCATAGTCAGTAGGCAAGAGGCTAGCCTACAGTCCCGTCCAAAAACCCCTATCCCAGTTGGGTCCGTCAGAATTTACACTTATGATGGTTGTGATTGGTTGTGGTTCATTCTGGTTCTGTTTTTTGTCACTGTGAGTTCTTCAATGACAACCCAATCACAGTCTTTCAGGGCCACACTGGCATGTGTTTTCTACAGTGCTGTTCTGTTCATTAGGAGTCCTACTGTCCATGTTTTTTTTTCAGTACAGTGGTTTTCTGATAGTAATAATAAAGTTAAAATTAAATATAAATGATGCTCCAATGTAATCCAGCATAAATCACAACATGGGTGAAGTCATTGACCATATATTGATATCACCATATTTAGTCAGTAACATTGTCCAGAATTCCCAGCTGCTTTGTCTACATTCCAGCAGATGGGGATTGGACACATTTACCCAGTGAGTTTGGTGGTTCGCCGATAAATATGAAGCTTATCTCTTTTTATAAATATTGTATGTCCTTTAATGTTTTCATGCAGCCTGAATTCATTGGTCACATTGGTCAAAATTATTATTTGACTCTAAAAGCTATGTCTTTTTTTGCCAGAGCAGTCTTTATGAAAAAGTGATAAATAATGATAAAACAACTATTTCATCCCCAGGTTAGAACATGTTCCCCTTCCTCACACTGGCTATGATGATATCCATGTCAGGATGTTGGCCGCTCCAGTTAATCCTGCAGATGTTAACATGTTACAAGGTAGGCCCAACTGCTAAGTGAAATATTAACAGACAGACAAAATGGTGACATATTCATTTATGGTTAGGCTAGTTCTCTGTGTCTGCATGTCCTCTTTCCCTGTCTGACAATGGATCATTGACTCAGTTATTGACTAAGCGTATCAGTGTATAACATTTCTGAGTTCCTATAGTTCGGCACTGATAATGTTTATGAAACACTGGTGAAGATGACTGAAGATTTTATTTTTTTTTGCTGACAGTTCATCTTTGTTGAAATTTTGCAGGAAA